TCTCCTGCCTCAGCCTCCCAAGTAGCTGGGACTACAGGCACAAGCCAGGACACCTGGCTAATTTTTTTTGGTATTTTTTAGTAGAGAAGGCATTTCACCATGATGGTCAGGCTGGTCTCAAACTCCTGACCTCAAATGATCCACCTGCCTCGGTCTCCCAAAGTGTTGGGATGACAGGAGTGAGCCACTGCATCCGGTCTGCCATGTAATCTAACAGCAAGCACTGGTATAGGACATGAACATCTCTGAAGGGCCATTTTTCTGCCACCACAGAGGCTCATGAAAATATTCTTTTTCTCGCTTTTTAGAGACAAGGTCCTTCTCTGGTGCCCACACTGGAGTGCAGTGGCATGATCATAGCTCACTAAAGCCTCAAACTCCTGGGTTGAAGTGACCCTCCTCTCCTGCCTCAGCCTCCCCAGTGTCTGGGACCACAGGCAACCACCAGCACGCCCAGCTGATTAGAAAAATTTTGTAGAGACAGAGTCTGACTATATTGCCAGGCTGGTCTTAAACTCTTGGGCTCAAGTGATCCTCCTGCCTCAGCCTGCCAAAGTGCTAGGGTTACAGGTATGAATTGTCACATCTGGCCAAAGCATTTTATTTTAAAGACAGAAGAAAGAAACCTTTAAGTCAAAGAAACTGGCTTAATATTACATAATATTATATTCATCTTTATACCACTGCAGTCATATATATATATATATTTTTTAGAGTCTGTGTCCAGGCTAGAGTGCAGTGGTGTGGTCTCGGCTCACTGCAACCTCTGCCTACCGGGCTCAAGTGATTCTTCTGCCTAAGCCCCAGGAGTAGCAGGGACTACAGGTGCATGCCAACATGCCTAGCTACCTTCTTTGTATTTTTTTTTTTTTATATCTGAAAGCAAGTTTTTAAGGATGTTAAACTTCTTTGTGTTGGCCGAGTGCGGTGGCTCAAGCCTGTAATCCCAGCACTTTGGGAGGCCGAGGCAGGTGGATCACGAGGTCAAGAGATCGAGACCATCCTGGTCAACATGGTGAAACCCTGTCTCTACTAAAATACAAAAATTAGCTGGGTGTGGTGGTGCGTGCCTGTAATCCCAGCTACTTGGGAGGCTGAGGCAGGAGAATTGCCTGAACCCAGGAGGCAGAGGTTGCGGTGAGCCGAGATCGCGCCATTGCACTCTAGCCTGGGTAACAAGAGCGAAACTCCATCTCAAAAAAAAGAAAACAAAAAAAAAACCAAAAAAAAAAACTTCTTTGTGTTTTTAATAGAGACAGGGCTTCACCATATTTACCAGGCTGGTCTCTAACTCCTGACCTTGTGATCCACCTGACTTGGCCTCCCAAAGTGCTGGGATTATAGGCATGAACCACTGCGCCTAATTTTTTAAAATGGAGAACGGGGCACCCAGATCTTACTGTGGCTCTGTCCACCTGACCTTCAGGCCCATAGGCCTGTGTCCTTGCCAGGAATCAATGTCTCTGGGACACTTCTCTAACAGGAGGGTTTCAGTGGGTGAGACCAGGAACCTGGAGAACTAGCAGCTGGGTGACTGGAAAGAAAACCATTTGGGGTGGGGTTGGGTCTGCAAGGCAAGAGGTGTCTGGGCAAGGAAAGCAGGGCTGGGGCGGAGGGTCCTGCCTCATCCCACTCTCCTGCTCACTCCTTCCTCGATCCCTGTCAGGGCAGTCACCATGAGCAAGGCTTGAGGCTACTTATAATCAGTGGCCTTGGGCACATTCCTTAGCTCACCTGAGTCTCAGTTTCTTGATCAGTAAAAAACGGGGACAATAGCAACCATCCTATTTCAGAGAGCTGTTGTGAGACCCTGAGCCACTGTTTCTCAAACTGCCCGATTTCACCTACAACAGAATGGCTGTGGGGTGAAGTTTGAGAACCACAGACAGGTGAGGTGGTGCAGGGGCCGGCCCTCCCACACTGTAAGGTGCAGTGTGGTGCAGCAGAAGCTGATATTCCCGCAGGTCTCTTCGGAGGGAGCCGTATTAGACTCTCGAGCGCTGATTGTATTCGAGGTCTGTGGCTTAGGGATCATGGCAAAGTGAGGCACCAAGAGTTTGTCCCTATGGGCTCCAGGCCAAGGACGTGCCTGTGAGATAACTCCTGCCACGTGGCTCTGTCAGTGCCTCACTGTCCACATTCCATCATGCCTGAGCTCCTGGCTCTTGGCTTACCCAGGTGAAAAGAATCTTTCACTATCACCCACCCAGCCACAGATGCTTTTCTGCTTCTCTGGCAACGCTGCCCCCTTGGCTAGGTGGGCCAGGCCGGGTCTCTCTGGGCCAGCCTGCAGCCACTGACCTCTCCAGTCTGCAGGGCAGAGGTACAGCCCCATGGGGTGTGGCTGATCTGAAGGCAGTTCTGGCCTGAAATGGGCCTTGTCCCTTCCTTGTCCTCATTGCTCCCAAGGCCAGGCTGGCAGCAGTAGCAGCGGGGTTGGATGCTACTGGATGGGAGAAGGTGAATGGATTTGGGAGTGCAGAATCAGGCTGTGGAAGCCAAGGGCCCTGAAGGAGGGTCATGCCCAAGAGGAAAATAAACACTTTGTGATCAGCCCTGGAGCAGCTGAAGCTGCAGTGCAGAAGCATGGTAAGGAAGGAGTGGCCTGGGTTTAAGGCCCAAGACACTGTCTCCGCTCCTCTAAGCCTGACTTAGCCCTATAACCTAAGGGTCCTGGAGGTCCTAAAACCTTCTACAGAGAAGGCTCTGGGCCCACTCGGCCTTGTGGGTGGAAGAGCAGTCACAGCCCTGCACTGGGGACCCAACAGATGTGGCCTTGCTAGGGCCTCAGAAGTGGACCACAGTGGGTGGGAGGGGGCAGCAGCTTTGAGATACCCCCTCCTTCATGAACCCTGTACCTCTGAGACACATCCCAGAACCCACTGTGTGGCTCCCCACGTCACTTCATATTTTCTTTCAGCTTCGAGTAGCTCTCCAAACCGTGTTCCAGGGAACCCCCCCCCCCTCACTTAACCTGTGAGGGACTCCAGGAGGGGAATCCAGGTGAGGCGTGCTGTGCGGGCTCTGGGTTTCCTTACGGGAGTTCTCATATACGTCCTGGTGCGGACTGGGAATCTACTACTTAGTGGGGGGACTGCGTCCGAAACATTTCTGATCTGCCCCTTAAAGAAAGGTTCCACTGAACAGCCTGGAAAGCTGTTTTACTGAGCTCCTGCCACCACTCAATGAGGCGCAGGCAAAGTGTGAAGGGAGTTTCCAACAGTGGACCCTGCACAGGCGTCCCTCCTTGGAGAGGGGAGCACTGGAAGGCACTGCGGTCAGAGGGCCGCCTCACTATCCGCATTCCATCACGCCTGAGCTCCTGGATCTTGGCTTCCATCCTGGTGAGAAGAATCTTTCAACATCACCTACCCAGCCACAGATGCTTCTCTGGCAAGGCTGTGCCCCTCGCTAGGTGGGCAGGGCTGGGGGATCTCTGGGCCAGTCTAAGTGGTCTGGGTTTATGGCCTGAAGTGCAGTGTGCTGCAAAAGCTGATATTCCCGCAGGCTTCCTCAGAGGGGGCCGTATTAGACTCCTGAGAACTGATTCCATTTGAGGTCTGTGGCTTAGAGATGACAAAGTGAGGTACCACCAGGAGCTTGTCCCTATGGGGACAGGGGTGGGGATGCAGGGAGGCTGCTGCCAGCACCCACCAACACAGGGTGGTCTGCCCTCCAGGGTATTTTCTAAACCTGGCAGGAGAAGTGTGGGGTCAGGAGGGTGACCCCGAGCAGGAGGCTGCAGCGAAGATCAAGGGGATTCCTGAGCCAGATCCAAGGAGGGTGTCTCCTAGCCCCGTCTGCTTCACTAGACTCCTCTCCTGCTGGAGCCACGGGCTGTCAACGCTGCCTTCCTTAAGGCATCAGGGCCGCTGCTTGTGCATAGAGCTACCATCAGCCACACAGACTGAGATGGGGCGTGACTGCAAACTGGTCTATTCTCCAGGGCTCCGGGCTTGGGGCCTCCCTGCTTGCACTGCCAGAGTGTAGGGAGAGGAGGGAGCACTCTGGGAATATGTGTGCAGGCTGAAGGGAGAAGTACTGGGTTTCGGAGAGGGAAGGAGGGCCCCACAGGTGCCCAGTGACACAGTAACCCTCTGACACTGCTGCACCAGCAAAGGGTTCCCAGCTCAGGAGAAGACAAAATGCATTTTAATAGTTTCAAGTGCCATGAGGTGTCTGCACGGCACCGCAGCCTGAGTGAGGAAGGGCAGGGCCATCATACGAAGTAGGCGGCCAGGGCTGACATCTTGTCCTTGGGCCGCCTGGGGTTGGGCTTCCCAGGGGGCCTCCTGGCCCGGCCCCGCCCTCGACCCTGCCTCCTCCCTGGTCCACCACGGTGCATGGGGTGGCAGGAGGCCGCATGCTTCAGCTCCACCAGCTCCTGGAAGACGGGGTCACAGAAGACGCAGCCCATGTGCTGTGTCTCGTCGCCCGGGAGTGGGGACTTGGCCTTGTTGAAGTCCACGTCAAGCAAGGCGGCCTCACAGACACTGCAGGTGTCGGCGGACACCCGCACGCGGTGGGCGTTCTCAAAGCAGTGCGCCACCACGTTGCACTTGTTGCAGGCCACCTTCCACTTGGGGCCCGAGGTGGGGTCCAGCACCAGCACCCCGCTTTCGCATTCCACACACTGGCCGATGCCCAGCATGCTCAGCGAGTGCTGGCAGGAGGGGTGTGTACATTCATTGCAGCCCATGCCTGGTGGAAGAGGGGAGCCCTGTGAGGCATGCTTGCCACACCTGCCTGCCCTCTGCGGCCTGCTCCCAATGGCTCAAGCTCCTGGATCCCTCGTCCCAGCAGAAGGAACTCTTCTTGGCCTCGCTCTTGGGGACCGCCTTGCTTATGCTTCGGCTCCTGGCTGCCGTTACCTCTGTTTTTTGCTAATCTGAAACCTCCTCAACTCTCGAGGCCCCTTGCTGGCACCGTCCCAGTGAGTTCCAGCTGACTCCATCCCCACTTTGCTTTGCTGCCATGGCTCATTACTGGTAACGCCACATGACCCTCATGTCACTGGGCCACATGGACCACCCTGTCAGCTACTCTGGAGGCAGCAGGAGGGTGGAGATGGGGCCTCACTCTCCCGGCAGCCTGGGGGCAGACTGAGGCATGAGGGGGGTTCCTGCAGAGCCCACGGTGAATGTGGGCAGACACCTCACTCCCGCAGGTTCCTGGTCTGGCTCGGTGCTCTCTGACCTGCCTACCTGGACACATGCTCTCCCTTCTCCAGTAATGAGGATGAGGATGGAGGACAGTGGTGGACGCTGACTGGGGGTGCCCGCTCACTGGGTGGGTCCTCTTGCTCACTCAGCTCCAGAGGGAGCACTGCACACCTGTGCCCAGGTCCTGAGAGTGGACCAAGTTTGCCTGCTTGATTCTGACACAGAGAGAGGGTGGCACTGGCTGGCTGAGACCTGAGCAGTGCCCCAGCTATATCCAGGCTCTCTCGTCTCAGTGGCAATGAGTGCAGTAAAGGCCAGGGTGAGGGGTCCCCTCGGAGTCCGGCCTGGTGTCGGGCAGGAGCTGGCACTGAACAGAGACTGCAGCTGCCTGTGGACAGGAGGGAGCGGCCGCACTCACCTTTCTTCATGTCGCGGAAGGGTGGGTGGTTGTAGCAGTAGGGGCACAGTGGGTAGCTCTTGCCCCGGGAGCCTGACGACCACAGGACCAGCTCAAAGTCGTCCAGAGGGCAGCGGAGCTCCTTGTAGAGTTTGATGGTGCCATTTTGGGGGAGTGTGTAGGTCTCGTCACAGTGGGAGCAGTGCAGGCAGCTTGGCTTGGCCTGCGGTGATGCCAGGCAGGGGGTGTGAGGGTCACTGAGGCCACCGACTTGGCCCCTGCCCCAACTCCTCTCATAATACACAATATGTGACCTGTCGTGCAGAACCTGTGACACGCTGCCAGGCAAGGACCCCGAGTCTCC